GAACCATTCTACTAACACTTATCTATGAAATTCGATACTTTCTCTCTTTGATTTAGATATCTAAATGATGAAGAATATTTTTCTGTTTGTCTAAACTATCGATATAATTCAGTATTGTTCAATAGTTAATAAATAAAACTTGATAGAACTGTTCTATATTTATTTTATAAGTAACTAACAATACATAAGATAGACAAATAATGTTTTTTATTCTAATATTAATATATCTGTCTAATTTTATCATATCTTTTTTGTTGAACAAAAAATATCTAGCATAAAAATAAACTTGACTAATCAACACAAATATTGATTCGAATTCAGTTTATTTTTCTTATTATTGAACAATGTCAAAAATTTAATTCGATGATTAATAACAAATAAAATTAAACATTTTGTTCTTGTTGTTCTTCATTTGATAGATCGCCTTTCGTGGTGGTTGTATCAAAATCCATTTCTATTTGATTGTCATTTAACTTTTTTCGTTGTAATAAAGGAATGGCAAAGAGTACGATACCACTGATAACAGTACAAGTACCAAAAATAAAATATGGCCAAAGAAACGGTCGATCAAATTTAGCAAAAGCATCCCGCATGGCACCTATAAATAATATATGGTGAAAGAAATGTAACAAAAATAAAACAAAAGAAAATTTACTAGACTACATAAACACTTACCTACAATTGGTGTTCCAATGGCAGTAGCAATACCAACAAAAAGTAAAAAAACACCGAATGCATCCGACAGTTTATTAATACCAACTATATCAATAAGAACAATTGATGTTAAAGTAACATAACCACCTGCAAAGAAGCCAAAAGCAGATGCATAACCGATATGTAGAAAAACAGAAGCACCACATAATGGAGCAACCATTGTAGCAACACCAGAAATAATCAATGCTACAATGAAAAATAGAAGTCGATTTACCTATAAAATAAAAATGACTTTATCAAATACTAAATCTTCATATCGTAAAGTTTTCTTACACATTTTCGATCACCGATAAAACCGATAATAATACGACCGAAAATATTTGAGAGACCAATTGACATAACAATATATGATCGATGATGTATGATAACTTTTGCATCATTTGCAAGATCATCAGCAAAATTGTAAATGGCATTGAAGCCAAGACTTGTAAAAAAATTCGATATAACAAACAATGTAAATGCAGGATTTTTTAGTAGACTAAGATCAATTTGTTCGATAATTTGACGAAGAAAAGATTTGTTTGATGATTTTTCAATGATGTCAACTGAAAATATTTTGTTTTAATTATTCTCGAAAAGAATTCAACAGACGAATTTACCTTCCTTGGCATCCGTTTCTGTCATTGATTTTTGTTGAACTTCTTTACGTATTTTTCGTTCTAGACGTCGTTGTTCACTAGGTTCTTGTGGTAGAGGACGCTAAACAAAGAATTTATCTTCTTATAAATTGACTAGAATGTTTTTATTCATTAAAAAAAATTTTTTTTCGTCCAATTACAAACAAAAACAATTACCATAAGGTAGCCACATAGAAGGCCAGTAATGATAATGCAACATTCAACGAGCAATGCATTTTCATACTTGATCCATTTCTTTACATTGACGATTTCGTTCATGATATAAGATAGTAGAGTTGTACCCACGCCTGAACCACATACAGCAATACCCATAGCAAATGTACGTTTTTTTTCAAAATAAAATCCGACAGAGACAATAGCTGGCAAATACATGAGTGAAAAACCAAGACCTGAAAATATCAACCATATGAATAATATGTAGAAAATAATTCATATCTATTACAATTTTCGAGAAAAATTTAAGTTCTAAGAAATTTTCGTAATGTAAAAAAAAAAAGAAAGTTAATTATCATGAAAATGAAAAATCGTATTCAAGGGAAAAAAACAATTTCCACAGTTTTCTTAATTGATTAATCAGATAGAACACATATATAGTTTATCAAAACATTATTCATTCATCCATACGAATCTGACCTATTTTCTATTACAATAAAGCCTCTATAATGTGAACACCAACGGGACCAAAGAAAAGCATTCATAAAGGAGAGGATCAATGGATTTTATAGAAAAATGTAAGTGAAGTTTATCCTTTTATTTGAGGCATGTTTTATATTTCTCACACTTAATTTTCTTTAACTAGATACAATATCATTTATATTAAATCAAAATCCTGTTTTAAAAAAATTTCGAATAGATGTTTGTTTTGCAGTATTTGTATCTAAACAGACATCAATGAGCTTCAACTGTAGTCGTGCTAGATATGCGTACTATAGTTTAGGATATTGAGAAATGGGTAGCACAATTTCTAAATCATTCTATCTATCCATTACTATCTTTAAAATTTGATGAATCATCTATTTTTCGGTACTACTGCAGTTTAAGTACAGTGCGGTACCCTCACTCTTTGATGTGCATTGTCAATTAAGTCAATTAACATACGGGGTGTACTTAATCTGCAGTGGAACCCAATTATATAATTGGAATCCTCTATAGATGTTCACATTATATATATGCATTCGGGATCGAAAAAATACATTCATATTCAGAATTACGAGGTGTTCATAAAGATGGAATTTTCACAAGATGAGGTTTTACTGTATCTATGTTTTCCCTCTATATTGTAAACAAAATAGTCCAAATATGCTAAATATGTATAATAAAAAAAAAGTTATTTGTCCACTTTAAAAAATGTATGCAACTTCAATCAATAGTTATGAATAGTAGAATTTTTCGATTCTCTTTATGATTGTCGATGTTAGTAAGTATATATCACTTCAAACCTGAAAATTCTCACTGATGAGAGCTTGCCTCTTATTTTTTAAACTAACGAGGGAACACCACGAACTGATCAATCGCTATTTAAATTTTAGTAATGCCAATTTGTAGAGTTTGTTGAGTTATTAACTGATATAATAATCATTCAGGTGCACAATGCGGCTGCAGAGTAAATTTCTGATAATCAAAGTTTCCATTAACCTATCCATACCCTATAGCGGTCCTATAGAGGCCCTATAAAGACCCTATAGGCCCCTATAGAGTTTCTACAGGATCTTATATGCCCTCTATAGGACCTCTATAAAACCACTATATGGTATGGACAGGTTAATGGAAACTTTGATTATCAGAAATTTACTCTACAGCCGCATTGTTGGCCCTAATGATTATTATATCAGTTAATAACTCAACAAACTCTACAAATTGGCATTACTAAAATTTAAATAGCGCTTGATCAGTTCGTGGTGTTTCCTCGTAAGACAAATTATGAATTAGAATTTTCTGGCTTTCCACCGAGACTTTCTGGAAAAAGAGCAATAAAGAGGATCGACCGTTAAGAAAAAAAGAAAGAGGATAAAAATAGACTTTGTCTGCATCTGCAAATATTTTGAGAAAGATTCGTAGCGATAACGAGAAAATATCTGCAATTTGTTCAGTCTGTTTTCTGCTATTCCATTATTGGTAGGTGGTAAATGATCTCACAAGTAAAAACAAGACCTAAAAGTTTATATAAGGTTCTATTTCATATTTAATGCACGTAGTGCAAACAAAGAACAAAACGGAAAAATAGTAATTACGAAAAAAAAAACAACGTGAAAATGATGAAACGGACAAAAAATTGATATATTCCATTTCCATAAATTAAAATGGAGATATTCACTGATTTCATATCTTCATTTTGATTGCTAATCAAAGTCATCAAATGAAGGTGATTGAAAACCAAAATAACGAAATACGATTAATGAAAATTTCCATTTGAATCGATGAAAACGAAATACCATGATTTTTTTTTGTCTGTTTCATCATTTAAAAAATGGCATGTTTTTCACACGAAGGTCATCACCCTAGAGAAAGTACTGAGTTCAGGGTACCCATGTACTGAGAAAGCTCTAGCAGGGTACCCAATATGGGTACTTTGAAAATTCTCAGTAATTTTACTGATGTATGTACTGTTTGGGGTACCCGTAAAAGTACATTCACTGAATAAGTACCTGCATGGATACACAAGTCTGTAACTTTACTGAGGAAATCTCGATAGGGTATCCTAAATTTTTCGCGTTCTGTGTGGCGACTATTCATTCACCGTTTTCTTTTTTACGTACGGCTCTATATAAACAACTCGATAAATCATAAGAAAATAATCAATTTTCATACTAGTTTTTTCTAAATTATTTCTTGACTATTTCTTAGTCGAGGAAATGCCGAGCTTGGTCGTAAATTAAGATCGGACTACCCTGAAGTGGTCTACGACCAACTCAAGTTGAGTCGAATCCCGACATTGTTCCTGCTAAGTTTTTGGAATTGAAAAAATTAAATTGAATAAAGTAAAAAAAAATCTAGTAAATTATTTCAAGAAAAAGAAAAAATTTTAAAAAGTCAAAGATCAGGTTCGATCCTGAACATACTGAAAATTTGGTAACAGGGTACTTAGAAATACTATAGAATGGTACCCAATTCAGTACTTGATCAGTACCTTTAGGTACCCAATTACTGTGCATTTTCCAGCAGGGTACTTGCCAAAGTACCACTTAGGTACCTGAAAGTACCTGCAAGTACTTTGGTACCCAAAAGTTCCTGTGACATACTGGTATCAGGGTACTTTTTTGGGTACCCTTAACTCAGTATATTCTCTAGGGTGCATTTCTTTTCAATGGAAAACTCGAATATTTGTAAAATACTGCAAACTTTCAGCTTATTTCATAAAAATTTTCACTTTTCATTTCGATTTTTCCTGAGAACGAGGAGAAAGACGAGGGTTAAAATGCTAGATTAGAATATAAAAGAAATGATTGCTGGTATAATAACCATATTACATGAAACGGTTCGTTTTGAAATCCGATACCATCAACATTTTTTTGTTTTAGAGAGTTCATCATATCGAGAAATTGATGCATTGTATTTTTATTGGCTTTATTTTAATGAAGTAAAATTTTATTCCATCTTTTCTTCACTATTAGAAAAGCTTTCCTGTTTTTGTTCTACATAAGATGTTATTCGTATCAATAATATTGATTTTTATTTTGATTTATTCTTTGTAGTTCAACTGAATCTTTTCTCTGGATGTGACGAACAATGCATAGTATAATTTAATAATTTTCTAACCTTTTGTCTATTTAAATTGACTCTTATGTTATTCAAAATCGGTACTTTCATATGCAACAATGATTTCTTTTATATATCGATCTTAATATTAGAAAAAAAAATCATAGCTTCTATCATTCAGAAGTTTTAAAATTATTCCATTAGAGTAGTTGAAGTGGAAAATGTAAAGATATACTAGATAAAAGTACATAATAGAACTCTTTAATCTATTGTGACTTATTACAACAAATAAAACAAGACAAACTCATATAGATGAACGAATCATTATACGACTAACTTGATGAAAAGTCTTTGATCTCTTATAATATTTATATCATCATGTAAATTGTATTCATATCTTTTAAAATAATGAAATTGCATACCTCCAACGACACCAATTGTTATATAATAAAACCAGACGTTCGCCCCTAATCGACTAAGAAAAAATCCACAAGCAGCGATGCAAGTACCTGCTATTGCTACTCTACGACATCCATACATATTCGTAAGAACAGTTGCGATTGGTCCTTTAAAAATAAGAAATATAATTATCAGAAGAAAACAACAATCAAATCAAAATCATAATTAGTTTACCTGCACCAAGAGTGACAGCTGGTAGAATACTGAAAATAGTTGAAATTGAAGCTCGATCAAGTGCAAGTTTTTTACGCATGGGTTCTGAGAATGTTTGACCCATTGAATATGTTATTCTAAATATTTTTAATATGAAATTGATGAAATGAAAAAAAAAAAAATAATAATAATAATATCACCTACCCATCCATAATGAAATGAATCAAGAATGATGCCAAGACAACCATCCATCCCCATCCACCATCGGGTACAATTACTTCTTTACTTGATGTTTTTTCCTTATCATTCTTCTCCATTGTTATTTTTGATATTTGAATTATTATCTTCTGAAATAAACAATTATTTTTATAATAAATATAATAGATCAAGAAATTATTCATCAACTGATATTTCATGTAAGTATCAATTCGACATATTTGTTTCATATCTCATGATGAACATTAAAAATAAATGTTTAAATGACTTCTAAAGATGAGTATCGAAAGTGTTGAAAGTTACCTTTGTGTTTGGGCATGAATATTTTTGATCACCAAAAAATGTTGAAATTGATCACCATTTTTTTTTGTTGCGAAATGATCACCAAAATAAGATACAAATGATCACCATTTTTTTTTGTTGTGAAATGATCACCAAAAAAAGAGACATTTGATCACCAA